GAAAAACCACACAAAGTAATTTACTACACTGCATATGGTCAGTGAAAAAGAGGAAGAATCTCAACAAGATGAAGGACACAGTAGCTACAGCGATGGGATCAAGCAGAGTAACTATTTTGAGGATGGCGCAGAATCAGGCAGTATTTTGTTCTATTGTATGTAGTATCACAGTGAGTCAGAACTGACTTGATAGCACCTGACAACAACAACAGTGTGTTTCAGAAACACAGTAAAACTCTCAGGAGAGAGTTGTGCATTGTACAGATATGGTCTCTGCTTTCATAAAGCTTTCATTGGAATAGGGAGACAGCCATGAAACAATGAATAAACTTATTAATTGTTTAATTACAATTGGGTATAGAACTATAAAGGAGAAATAGAATGATCTATAAAAGCAGCTAATAGGAAGCCTAGCCTCATCTTAAGTCTCGGGAAGGAAATGATTGTTGAACATAATTTAAGTTTGTGTTTGTGGCAGAAGATACCCTGATGGCTCAGTGGTTAAGAGCTTGGCTGCTAACCAAATGGCCAGTGGTTCAAACCCACCAGGTGCTCCACAGGAGAATGATGTGGTGTCTGCTTTTGTAAAGATATAACTCTGAAAACCCAGTGAGAGAGTTCTACTTTGTTCAGTAGTGTCATCATGAGTTGGAATCAACATAGGCAATAGTTTTTTAAATGGGTTTGTGGTAGAGATTGGGGGTGGTGCAGTGTGGGAAGAAGGGTATTCTGGTAGCAAAGGACATCTTTGCAAAGGACTTGGAGAAAGAAGAAGCATAGCATGTTCTGGGGACAAGTAGAAGGTTAGTATGTTTGAAAAAAAAGAGTAAAGGAAAAAATGGGATGTGGGAGATCAAGCCAGCGAGGAAGACAGAGCCAGAAAGGGCCTTATAGGCCCTTTTTAATGATTTCTTCGTTACCTAAAGCAATGCAAAGCCATTGGACTGTTTTAGAAGATAAGTGGCATGATCAGATTCTTGTCCTCTTAGCAAAAACTATTCTGACTACAGTGAAAGAATGGATTGGAGGAGGGTAAAGTCCAGAAAGTGATACAGCTTGGTTTACAGGAGTAAAGGAGACAGCCTAGAGAGAAATTTAGGAGATAAAGCCAAAAACAATTTAATGAATGATGGCTATATGGAGGTAACAAAGAAGGAGGAGTCGAGAGTGGTACTTATGTTTCTGCCTTGAAACACTAGAGAGAACATGTTAACTTCACTGATAAAGAACACTGGAGAAAGAACAGCTGGGGATAATAGGAAATTACGTAGTTTGGTTTGGGTCATGTTTGTCTAGTTTGAGGTGCCTACAGGATATCCAATAATATATCAGACAGTGTTCCACTGCTGTTCATAAGATTTTTACTTGTCATGTTTTTTCCAAAGTAGATGGCCCCATCTTTCTTCCCAGTTTGTCTTAGTCTAGAAGCTCCACTAAAACCTGTCCCACATTGGTGATCCTGCAGGTGTCTGAAATACCAGTGACATAGCCTCCAGGCTTACAGCAACGCACCTGCCACCACAGTACTACAAATTGACAGACGAGTGGTGCATGTTTTAACATCAGGAAGGGTGTGTGTCAAGGTTGTATCCTTTCACCATACTTTTTCAATTTGTATGCTGAGCAAATAATCTGAGAAGTTGGACTATATGAAGAAGAATGTGGCATTAGAATTAGAGGAGGACTCATTAACAACCTATGATAAGCAGATGATACAACCTTCCTTGCTGAAAATGAAGCACTTACTGATGAAGGTTAAAGACTACAGTCTGCCATATGGATTACACTTCAACATAAAGAAAACAAAAATCCTCACAATGGGGCCAATGATCAGCATCATGATAAATGGAGAAAAGATATAAGTTGTCAAAGATTTCCTTTTACTTGGATCCCACACCCATGGAAGCAGCAGTCAAAAAATCACACATTATATTGCAAGGGGAAAATCGGCTATAAAAGACCTTTTTGAAGTGTTGAAGAGCAAAGATATCACTTTGAGTACTAAGGAGTGCCTGACCCAAGCTATGGTATTCTCAGTCACCTCATATGTGTGTGAAAGCTGGACAATGAATAAGGAATACCAAAGAAGAGTTGATTCCTTTGAATTATGGCATTGGCCAAGAATACTGAAAATACCATGGACTGCCAGAAGAAGGAACAAATATGTCCTGAAAGAAGTGTAGCCAGAAAGCTCCTTGGAAGTGAGAATGGCCAGACTTCATTTCACGTACTTTGGTCATGTTGTCAGAAGGGACCATTCCCTGGAGAAGGATATTGTGCTTGGTAAAATGGGAGTCTGTGACAAAGAGGAAGACCCTCAACCAGATGGATTGACACAGTGGTTGCAACACTGGGCTCAAGTACAGCAAGGATTGTGGAGATGGTGGATGACCAGGCAGTGTTTCGTTCTGTTGTGCATGGGGTTGCTATGAGTTGGCACCAACTCAGTGTCACCTCACAAGAACAACAGGACATTCAATCTGAGATGTCAGGCAGATAATAGTTTATTTGAGTCTGAAGCTTAGAAAAAGCATCCTGATGAAAATAGAAATAAGAGTATTACATGTGATAAAATTGAGGTCTGGATGTTCAGATCTTCTAGGAAGATATTATAGGGCCTATGGATTGTTCAATTCCATTGTACAGACATTTATTGCGTACTCATTCTTGGTTAGGTGCTTTACTGAATGTGAAAAGGAAAGGCATTCAGTAGATTCTGTAGGACATCTCTTTGCTTCAAGATTAAATTACATTTGATAGCATTCAAGATAGAGGACTCTTTTTCATGTCCAGAGTAAACAATTAGATAAGCTAAATCTATATCTTAACCAGTTGTCATTGAGTCAGTTCTGACTCATGGTGATCCCATGTGTGTCTGAGTAGAACTGCTCCATTGGGTTTTCAATGACTGATTTTTTTAAAAAATATCTCCCAGTCTTTCTTCTGAAGCCCCTCTATGTGTACCTGAAACTCTACTCTTTCACTTACCAGCTGAGCTCATTGACCTTTTGCACCTCCTAAAACTGTACCTAGTATTGTTGTTAAGTGCTGTCCTGACTTGAAGCAACCCTACGTACAACAGAACGAAACATTGCCCAGTGCTGCACCATCCTCACAATCATTGCTATGTTTGAGCCCATTGTTGCAGCCATTGTGCAAACCCTCTTGTTAAAGGTGTTCCTCTTTTTCACTGATCTTCTGTTTTACCAAGCATGATGTCCTTCTCCAGCACTGGTCCCTCCTGACAACATCACCAAAGTAGGAGAGATGAAGTCTCACCTTCCTCACTTCTAAGGAGCACTCTGGTTGTACTTTGTCTAAGACAGATTTGTTCATTCTTCTGGCAATCCATGATATATTCAGTATTCTTTGCTAACACCATAATTGGGAACTCTGGTGGTGTAGTGCCTAAGGATTTGACTTCTAACCAGAAGGCTGGTGGTTCTAACCTACCAGCCACTCCTCAGAAGGAAGATGGGGCAATCTGCTTCCATAGTGATACCGCCTCGGGAAACCCAAGGAGGGGTCGCTGTGTTGGATCCAACTCAACAGAGTGAGTCTGGTTTTGGTTTTGAACATCATATTTCAAAGGCATCAATTCTTATTCAATCTTCCTTATTCATTGTCAAGCTTTTGCATGCCTATATGGCAGTTGAAAACACCATAGCTTCAGTCAGGTGCACCTTAGTCTTCAAAGTGACCTCTTTGCTTTCTAATACTTTGAAAAGGTCTTTTGCAGCAGATTTGTCTAATGCAATACATCATTTGATTTCTTGACTGCTGCTTCCATGGATGTTGACAGACTGATAGACGAGTGATAGAACTGAACTTTGGTCCAGTGTTTTTCAGTCTTTGTTTCAATCTAACTTAAATCCAATCTTAAATTCATTTCATTCTTATTCATCCTTGGGAGACCTATAGCTTCATTGATATGCATATATATTTTTTGTAGGACCTCTTTATATTCTTCACAAAAGAAACATTTCTCAGTTTTGGGGAGACATTGTTGTCTTTGGCCTTGTCTTCTTGGAACAACAGATGGAGGGTTGCTTCTTACACTAAGAATGCATTCATGCTTTTTAAAAAAGGAATTTGTCCTAGGGCAATAAAATATCCTTTCCATATTTTGGAGATTTTAAATTGCTGATGCCTTTCAGATTATGTACATATTGACTTGTTTTGTGGAAATTAGGCCACATCTTTCTACTCTGTTCTTAACATCAGACTAGATTTGTTGGCTTAGTATAATTTATAGCCCTTTTTATCTAGCTCTTATTCTAATGACACCAATGGCATAAAAAGGCCTACATTTTAAGGCTGTGTGTCTCAACTTATTGTTTTGGACCACCTACATTCTTGGATAATAATACTGCATGTTCTCATTAAAAATTCCAATCATTGAACCCAACATTGAAAATTATTTTCTAGTACAGCTGAGTCCCAATTATCTGCAGCTTTAACAAGCACTTCAGGTGATTTTTATTCATACTAGACTTTAAGAACCACTACTTTGAAAGTTATCAATACACACATGTACATCTCATTGTTAGAGTTTGGAGTTAATACGAACTCAAACATCTCTGGAAGTCAGATCAGTTTCTTACCCATTTTGAAGGTTAACCATCAAGTCATAAGGGTTAAATGATTTAATAGTTATTCTTCAGCTATTCAGTAGTGTAAAAATATCATCATTGGCACAGATTCCTTTCTAATGGATACAAGTCCATGTGGAGAAGAAGAAGAAGAGATAGACTGAAAGGTGGAAGAGAGAAAAGGTGAAATGGAGTGAGTGTATGTGAGAGAGGAGATGGATTTTGAGAAAATGAAAGTAAAATTGGCATCAAGCATAATCTTTCATTCAATTTTAGCATGTTTTGTTCTATTTGGCATGCTCTATGGGTCCATTTTGTTCATGATTATATCTTTATGAATACTTCTAGACTCAACTTCTTTCCTGTCTCCAGAACTAGCAAAAGTCTCTCCTTACTTTTCCCCCATAGGAAGAACGCCGTGTGATTTATGTCGGTAAAATCAGACCTGACACAACACGCTCAGAACTGAGAGACCGTTTTGAAGTTTTTGGTGAAATTGAGGAGTGCACAGTAAATCTTCGGGATGATGGGTGAGAATCTCCAAGATTATTTCTTGTTTAGAAGCTGACGTATGTAAAAAAATTATGGCCATAAGATTACTGGGATGGGAGTTGCCAATGTAAGTGCATTGAAAGATGACATATTGAGTTCAAAACCTTATTTATTTTCTTTCATTCGTATTTATTAATCTTTTTAGTTGAGATTTCCTGTCCAAGAAATAAGTATTTAGCTTCTTGACAGGACAATCACACTGATAAATGGATGCAGTGGTTCAGACGTTAGCACTTGCGAAGTCTCCCAAAGCAGAAAGGGTTACAGTCATATATGCTAATGCTTTGTAACCGACTTTGAACTTTTCTTTGCCCGTCGCAGGGACAGCTATGGTTTCATTACCTACCGTTACACCTGTGATGCTTTTGCTGCTCTTGAAAATGGATACACTTTGCGCAGGTCGAATGAAACTGACTTCGAGCTATACTTTTGTGGACGCAAGCAATTTTTCAAGTCTAACTATGCAGACCTAGGTATGGATTTTATTGTACATGGAATGAGGAATCCATAATGCAGAACTCAAAATGGGAGCAAATATAATCTGTAGGCACCTTGAGTTGGACTATCACTTTATTTTACTAGAGGGAATATTTGAATACAGATTTTTTTTTTTTTTTTAATGTATGAGACAGTTTCAAAAGCAAGTAGCTTAGGTTTTGGCAGAAGTGAAGTAAATTTCTTGTACCACCTGCCCAGGTGCCAAAATATTATACTGTTTTTGTCTTGTTTTATTTTTTGGGTGAGGTGTGTGTGCAGTACGTTCATATTTTTCATGTGTCTGTGCTATATTATGTGGTATATTGTGTGTGCATGTGTTTGTGTGTGTGTGTGCATGTGTAGTACATGTGCATTGTGTGTGAATGTATGTGTTTGTAATCTGCTTATGTGTCCCCTGCCTTCCCAGAGTTCTTTTGTAAGGAACATAGCATCGTCATTGTTCAGTGGAACTAAACATGCAAAAGGCTTGTTCTCTATTCCTTCATTATTAGTGTTTTCATTTTCTAATCATTGCATTTTGAAAGGGAAAAGTAACACTTCATATGCCAAATCCCACTCTACTTTCTTACTTTAAAACAAAAGATAAAAATAACAAATAAAAACTCTGTCAATTTTTTGAGTGCTCACATATGCTGGGCACAGAACCAAGAGATTGGCAAGTTTTTTTTTTTTTGTTGTTGTTGCATTACCACAATATTCCTAAGGGGTGGATATTATTATTATCATCCCCATTTTATAGATCAAGAGACTGAAGGCTACATAGTTATTCCTTTCTCCTATTTTAAAAGTTGTACTGACTCAAGGGGCAACGTGTTCAAATTATAAAAACATATTGAGAAGAAAAGTGAAATCATCCATCAGCCTATCACTCAGTAATGAAACCACTGTTACCAACTGAGCAATTTGTCTGCCAGTATTTTGTCTCAAAATCCTCTGTTTCTTAAAGTTGAGGTCATGTTATCTATGTAATTTTTGAATTCTTTTTTTTTCAAGCTTAATAGTTTATAAATGCATTTCTCCCTGTGATTTGCAGGATTAAAATTAATAGACCAACACATTGTAATGGTTGTACAGTATTGCGTAGGGTGAATAATACCATAATATTTAATCCATCATACCTAAGCATATATTCCATTTTCAATTTTTGGATATTATAAGTAATGCTACAATGAACATCTTAATTTCCTTTTCCATTTAATTTCATTCTTTCAGCATGTCATTCCCTATATACCCTGCGTCATATAAGCCTTTGCATTCTTTTTGGAAGGAATGAAGTCAGGAAAGTGGTGAAAGGAAAAAAAAAAAAAAGTTAGTGCATATGACATAATAATTCAAATGAATTTATGATCACCATACAATTAATATATAAATCTATTTCTGTGCATTATTAGAAATCTGTTTGCACTTGTATTGGCTTGGTATAAAGAAAAAGATGAATACCAAGTACGGGGATTTTTCTTTTCCTCCCTTCCAAGGAAGTGATGTTTTCCTAGAGTAATTGATATAGGTGCTGTGCATTTTTCAGAGGGAATATGCTATCATTCACTTCACAAGTTAAATAGATAGTGTAAAGCAGGGGAAAGGCAGCTGACTGTTAGAGAGATAGAGGCCTAGGAATGAAAATATAAAAGGTGGCAAGTCATTTGTTCAAATGTTGGCTGATAAAAAAAAGTCAAGACAGATTGAAGTCTTGAGTTGATTTGACTTATTTTCTTCAGTGATGAAGGCCAGGGTGTTTCTAGTCTCTAAAACATCTAGAGTTTAAAATAAGCTACCTAGAGGGGCCTTTAGATCACGATTCATCACTGGTGGAGGGAGGATTGGATAGTATTTCCAAATTGAACTGGAGCCTCCCTGAAATATTTCTAAGAAGAATGCTTCCCCTCTCGTTATCTCTCTGCCTAGCCAGCAGCAAGAGAAACTGTGCCATTGCTAAGCTAGCTCTATATTTTCAGAAAAGTATATTTGATGTGTATTGTAGTCGTATGGGTTTTTCCAGTTCCCTCAAGCTCTACAATTGCACGAGAGGTAGTTTTTATGAACTTAGACATAGTATTCTCAAAAGAATCCTAGTTTTGGAATTCTGCAGCCTTGATTTGAAACCTGGCTTAGCTTCTGACCTTGATCAAGCAATTAACCCTCCTCTGTTTCTGGTTCTTCATTTGTAAAATGAGACTAATTTTAAAATGCCTTATACTTTTGTTGCTAAAATAAATATATTTTTGAACATGTAGTAGCTTTCACCATATCTCTACGGCCTATCTGTCAGTTTATCTTTACTGTTGTGGCTTGCATGTTGCCATGAGGCTGAAAGATATGCCACTGGTATTGCAAATACTTGTAGGATCATCCGTGGTTGATAGGTTTCAGCAGAGCTCCCAGACTAATAAAGATTAGGAAGAAGGACATGGCAATCTACCTCAGAAATTTAGCCAACGGAAACACCGTGGATCACAGAATATTGTGCAAGACTTCAGCTCATTTACTTTGGATACATCATAAGTGGGGACAGAACACTGGAGAAGGATACCATGTCTGGTAAAGTGGAGGGTCAGTGAAGCTGAGGAAATCTCTCCATGAAATGGATTGACACAATTTCCATAATAGTGAACTCAGACATACCAATGATCATGAAATTGGCACAGGACCAGGCCATGTTTCATTCTGTTACACACGGGGTCACCATGTGGCAAAGCCAACTTGATGATAACTAACACCAAAACCAAGCGATTCTAGTTAATAATGATGATAATGAGAATTTAGGAATTTAACATTTTCAATGTAGAAGAATTAACAGTAGGGGTCAACTTTAGATCAAAATTTAGATCAACTTTAGATCAAATTAGGCCAAATTTAGGTCAAAATTTCCACATCTTGTCTTTGCTCCCTGAAGGTGTTGTCAGTTGCCGTCAAATCGGTTCCAACTGGTAGTGACGCTGTGCTCAACAGAATGAAATTAGTCTCGCCCTGCACCAGCTCCTCGATGCTGCCTGTGATTGAGTGGACCATTGCAGCCACTGTGGCAGTCTGTCTCGTTGAGGGCCTTCCCTTTTATCATTGAGACTCCACTTTACCAAACATGACATCCTTCTCCTGGGAATGGTCCCTTCTGACAACATGATCCAAGTAGGTGAGACAAAGTCTGGCCATGGTCCCTTCCAGGGAGAATTCTGACTGCAGTTCTTCCAGGACAGATTTGTTCATTCTTCTGGTAGTCTGTGGTATGTTCAGTATTCTTCACCAACACCGCAATTCAAAGGCATCAGCTCTTCTTTGGTCTTCCTTATTTATTATCCAGTTTTCACCTGCATATGAGGTGACTAAAAATACCATGGCTTGAGTCAAGAACACTTTAGTGTTCCAAGTGACATCTTTGTTCTTCAGCACTTTAAAGTGGTATTTTGCAGCAGCTTTGCTCAGTGCAATATGACATTTGATGTCTTGACTGCTGCTTCCATGAGTGTTGATTGTGGATCCAAGTAAAGTGAACTCTTTGACAACTTTAATCTTTTCTTCATTTATCATTTTGCTTATTGGTCCAGTTGTGTGGATTTTCATTTTCTTTAGGATGAAGCATTCTGTGAAGAGGTAACATTAGAAGCTTCAAGGCATGATCACTGAGTATGGTGGGCATAACACTATACTGGGCTCTTAGAAGGATTGAGTGTTGAGTAAAGCAAAACTGGTGCTACACAGACTAATTTCAATAAACCAGAACCTCATTCATGAGGACACTTAACATGTGGAATATTTTATTAATTGTACTTAAAATAGACACATGTATTAAGAAAGTTGGATAGAAATAAAGGATAAAAACATATTTTAGAAGGTGTTTGTAGAGTTTGAATCCCTCCTCCAATTTTTATTTCATGAACCCTCATGATCATGATAGTGGGCTCAAGATTCTAGAATTTTCTGAGTAATTTGAGAAAGCGACTCAGGATACTTTAGTGACCTATCAGTTTAGATGAATTTGACCTTTTTTTTTAATTTGCTCTTGCAAATTAATTGAACTCACACATGCTATTTCTCAAGTAGTGAAGCTAGATAATGGGTAACTGCAATGATATTAGAACAATACTATGTAAAAGTGAGTTGTAGAAAAGAGACTCAGAATTCAAAGGAACTTGTTCAAAGTTACTGTGCTTAAGCCAGGACTTCAATCCTGGTTTCTACACATCTGTCCAACTATCATGAAGATGGTACAGGCTGGGCAGCGTTTCCTTCTGTTGTACATACAGTTACCGTGAGTTGGAACCAACTCAGCCACAAGAACAATGTGAATCTGTTGGCTCTGTGCCATTATGTTTGCTGTCTTAGAAGCAAATTAATTCTAAAAGACCTTGATGAACATCTTAAAGACAAAGAGAAATTAAAATAGAACTATTGCACCAGAAGAGAAGGAATTAGTAAAACTATAATAGTTTTGATCAGGGATTAGTTATGGGTTGAACTTATATTAAAACAAAACAAAACAAAATAGTATGTTCATCACAAGATTATTATTAATTTAAAGAAACGAATGACATTATTAGTATCATGAATATATAACACAAATTTACATAAACTCACATCCCAAATCCCAATTCAAGATTAATTAATTCAACAATTTTAATTGACCTATTTTGTGCCAATAGTTTTCTAGATGTTAGGAATACCATTGTGAAATTATTAATTGTATTAAAATAGTGTCATTATTTACAAACAATTTATTTTAAAAAAGAATTATTTTTAGTTTATGTATTCCACTTAATAATTATTCAGTTATTATTAAAAAAAATTTTCTAGTATCTTACTTGTATTTCAATATGTTTATTTAATGGGAGAGAAAGGAATGGAGTTGATGTTATTGACTTGGGAATTGCATGTAACCACATTCTGGTCTCATGAAACCAAAAAGAGGTTGTGCAGGGACCTAGGGTATGTTTGTGTGAAAATGCATGTGTTTGTGGTCACCAGCCATCATATTCCACCATGAAGTCACTCTTGAGAACTGCTGTTCTAAAATCGCTTTAGTATTTGCAAAAGAAAATGCTGAGTCATGGCAATTCTGGGCTGCATTTAAAATAATCCAAAGTTAGGAAATCTTAGATATTTTCAAAATCCCCTCCAATGAAGAGATGCTATGAATGTATATTCTAGATGGCTGCATGCTGACTTTTTGTCAGACAACCTGCCCTCATTGGGAGAATCTTGTTTCTTGGTCTACAAAGCAGGTGGAAATCTAATTTCAGGCTAATCTCTAGCAATGGGTAGACATTTTTTTTAATACATCACTGTAAAAAAAGATTTTGATTTGTCCAATAGCTACTCATAAGACCTTACTATTACAAGTATGCCATCCATTAGTCGATGAGAGGACAGATCAAAGCCACTGGAATTGAAGAATTGAGCATTCAAGATAGTAGTAAGGGAAGATTGGTCATTTTTGCCTTTGCTTTAAATTGTGAAATACTCTAGGATATTTGTTGTTTTTCTTGCTCTTCTTCACTGGAAGCACTTCCTGGAAAACTCAGTGAAGAAAGAGGATTACAAAGATGAAAGAAAAGAATAAGTGAAGAAATTTACTTGCCTTTGAATCAAAGTTGGTTAAAGTCCTAGACTGAAGTTCAAAACCCACACCCACTGCCAGCGAGCCAATTCTGGCTCTTAGTGACCCAATAGGACAGAATAGAACTTTCCCATAGGGTTTCCACAGCTGTAAATCTTTACAGAAGCAGACTGCCTTATCCTTTACCCACAGAGAGGCTGGAGGGTTTGAACCATCAACCTGTTGGTTAGCGGCCAATTACCTTAATCACTGTGTTACCAGAGCTTCTAAGATTGAAGCTAGGTGAAAACCGAATCAGCCTTGTGCTAGAGGGCTTGAGGGATCACAGCCTCTTCAGCAAAACAACTTGTGAGGTCAGTGCTTAGACCTCCAGAATATCTAGTATGTGCTCATCTGTCACTTTGAACATTTCTACTTTATAGCTTATTCTGAGGAAAACACAGCAGTGTTCATCTTTTAGCTGACTTGTTAATATTTTATCAGAAAGCGTTTGTTTCCTATGCTTTCTGCTGCCCTCTTCAAATAAGTGTTTCCAAAGGAATGAGTGTATTTGCAAGTCTTTCTGTTATATTCCCAAGCATTCCAGTATATTCCCAAGTAGTCCATTATAGTTCCAAGTGTAACCTTTCTCACTTGCCAGACCAGCAAAAATATCTGAGTTTTCCTAGACGGCAATGGAGAAAAATCAGAAACATTTAGCAGAATTCCACTCAGCAGTCAACATTGCTACAACATGTCTGTTTTGTCAAGGGCTGTTTGAAGTGGCATGGGAAACTTTCCACGAAAGCTAACTGAGGCTAGAGTAAGGACCAAAAAGCAAAACAAAGCATGATTTTCTTTGTACCTGTATACTTTTCCGCTCCTATAGATGAATGAATGAATATGGTATAGTGGGTAAGGCATTTGGCTGCTAACCAAGTCAGCAGTTCAAACCCACCAGCTGCTCTGCAGGAGAAAGATAAGGCAGTTTACTTCTATAAAGTTTTACAGCTTTGGAAACCCAATGGGCATTGCTATGAGTAGTTGGAATTGACTAGATGGCAATGGGGTTTGGGTTTTCATTTTGTTTGTTATGAATGAATAAAGAGGCTAAATTTACTCTCTCTCAACATGAGGATTGTAACCTAGGTGATGTAAAGGGTTAAGTGCTCAATTACCAACTGAAAGGTTGACAGTTCAAATCCACCCAGAGATGCCTTGGAAGCAGGGCCTGGTGAGCTGCTTATGAAAGGTTGCTCCAGGGCCGTCGAGTCGATTCTGACTCATAGCGACCCCTCCTTGGGTTTCCGAGATGGTATCTCTATGGAAGTACACTACACCCTTGAAATTCTGTGGAACACAATTCTACTCTCGACACATGGGGTTGTCATGAGTTGGAATTGACTCACCTGAACTGTTTGGTTGCATTTGAGGTATTCCTCTACACCTTCTAAACGGGGAGAGTCTGCACTATGGTTACTGGGGTCCCAGAGTGAGTGACTGGATTGTAAGTCTCTCCTGCCTTAAAAGGGTGGGGAGTGGGGGAAGTCCCATTCAACTGGCCTAGATGCTAGTTGGAATCAGCTTCTACTCTTATATTTACTTCCCAGTTGTTGAGAAACCTCCAGCAAGACATTGATCATGCCTGAGGAGTGGGTGAAGGGGCCAGGAGGGCCTTTGATGAAAAGGAGAAATTAAGTCTGCCTGCCTACTTCTTGGAGGTGTTTTAAGTATCAAATGACTCAGTAGATGAATGTTTTAAAAAGCTCACCATTGTCACCATTCTCAAACACCCTCCCCCAATTATTGGTACTATATCACTGTAAGTCGTGCATTCTTTTTTTTAAAGGCGTTGATAAGGTACATTGCAGTGGATCAGGTAATCTTGAATGAGAGTGATTGAATAATCCACGGCCATCAGCAAAAGTTGCATGTAAACTGGTTTGGGTTTCTTTCAGATTCAAACTCAGATGACTTTGATCCTGCTTCCACCAAGAGCAAGTATGACTCTCTGGATTTTGATAGTTTACTGAAAGAAGCTCAGAGAAGCTTGCGCAGGTAACATGTTCCCTGGCTGAGGATGACAGAGGCATGGTGAATACCTCACGGGACAGCGCGTCCTTCCCTAACAGACTATATTGCAAGTCACATGTAGGAATTTCTCCTACTTTACACTCTCTGTACAAAAACAAACAAACAAAAACCCAACAATAGAACAAGAACAACAATGGTTTACATGAACAGAGCTGCTGAAGAGGAAAGAGACAGTATGGATATCCAGTAAGCACAGGTTTATTCATGGGTGTCAGCTTTGCTTTCCCTGGAGACTCTTGGTGATGGAGTGTATGTGTGTGTGTGTGTGTGTGTGTGCGTGCATGCTCGTGTGTGCCTGGTTTGGGGGGGTATGTGTGTGCACAGGTGGGGATTAGGGACACCTGACAACAGTGTGCAAGGGCAAACCCCTTCAAATGGCAGCAGTTCCATGGAGATACACTTAAAACCTAGAACTTCAAAATGTTCCTATTCTATTCAAAAGGAAAAAAATATATATAAATTAAAAAGAAAACTAAGCAACCAACCACAAACCGCCCTAAAATGACAGCCTCTGACGTCTGCACTTCAGCCACTGTACTCTGTTTTTTAAGAAAGTGCAAAATCAACTTGAAGCAAGCTTTCTCTCGTAACGTTATGATCATATGACCATGCCGAAGAAACCACAGTTCTGTAGAACTAATATCCTGTCTCTCTCTTTTTCTCTCTCTCTTTCCCTTTTTTTTTTTTTCTTATTTTCTGTTTGCCATGGAGTCTGGGTGGGAGAAGATACTGTGGGCACCAGAATGCTAAATCTTTCCTAACATTTTAAAGTTTCTGTAGTTCATCCTTTATTCTGACACCCATGTAAATGTCCAAAATGTTGATCTTCCACTGCAAATGTCAAAAGCCTTGTCAGTGGTCAAGCACGGAGCTTGTTCGGTGGTTCTTTCTAAGGCGTGGACACGGCATTACATTACTAATGAGAGTTGGTAGAACTCTCTGGGATGTGTTCAGATAGTGTAATTGCTACATTCTCCGATGTAGTTAAGTATTTACAGATGTTAAATGGAGTATTTTTATTTTGTGTACATATTATACAATGATGTTCTTTTTTTGTTACAGCTATGCACTGTAAATGCAGCCTTCTTTTCAAAACTGCTAAATTTTTCTTAATCAAGAATATTCAGATGTAATTATGAGGTGAAACAATTATTGTACACTAACATATTTAGAAGCTGAACTTATTGCTTATATATATTTGATTGTAAAAAAAAAAAAAAAACCCACAAAAAGACAGTGTGTATGTCCGTTGAGTGCAACAACAGCAAAACGATGCTTTCTGCAATTCATCCCTTCTTAGGTGAGCTTCGATCTTAAGCATCTTGTCAAGAAGTATCCTTGTCCTCTAAAAGTGTTAACCACTTCTGCGATATTTTTCCACATTTTCTTGTTGCTTGTTTTTCTTTGAAGTTTTATACACTGGATTTGTTAGGGGAATGAAATTTTCTCATCTAAAATTTTTCTAGAAGATATCATGATTTTATGTAAAGTCTCTCAATGGGTAACCATTAAGAAATGTTTTTATTTTCTCTATCAACAGTAGTTTTGAAACTAGAGGTCAAAAATCTTTTTAAAAATGCTGTTTTGTTTTAATTTTTGTGATTTTAATTTGATACAAAATGCTGAGGTAATAATTATGGTATGATTTTTACAATAATTAATGTGTGTCTGAAAACTATCTTTGAAGCCAGTATCTTTCCCTTGGCAGAGTATGATGATGGTATTTATCTGTATTTTTTACAGTTATGCATCCTGTATAAATACTGATATTTCATTCCTTTGTTTACTAAAGAGACATATTTATCAGTTGCAGAGAGCCTATTTATTATAAATTATGAGATGATGAAAATAATAAAGCCAGTGGAAATTTTCTACCTAGGATGCATGGCACTTGTCAGGTTGGAGTTTAAGTGCTTCATTTGGAAAAAAAAAAAAAAAAAATCATCTTTTGCAGAAGCAGTGTTTCTACTTGCACTAGCATGGCCTCTTATGTGACCATGATGTTGTTCTTGATGACATTGCTTCTGCTAAATTCAATAATACTAATACTACTACTAATAATAAAAACTTCAGCAAAACCTCCATTTTGAGCACCAGGATTTCATCTGAGTGTGGAGTCCCTGCAACGGAATTTTGTAAAGCTTGGAGTGTGTATGCACTTTTCTCAGTTGAGGTTGGGTCAGTGTTTGGCAGACATGACTTCTCTGGAAGACGTGGTAGATCTACTACTTAACCGTTCTATTCTTTTCTCTTGCCCAACACCATCTTAAACCGGATTTCACCCCCAGGCCGATGCAGCTGATTTTGATAGCTGCATTCAGTTATCACCAGCATATTGTGTTCTGAGTGAATCCACTGTCTGTCCTGTCGGATGCTTGCTTGATTTTTTGGCTTCTTATTTCTAAGTAGATAGAAAGCAATAAAAATACTATAAAATAAAAGAACTTGATCACAGGTTCTGCGTTACGATGGTAACATATCTTTAATCCGCCTAATTCTTGTTGTTCTGTAGGTTAAATGCAGGTATTTTAACTCTGTGTGAACGCCAAACTAAAGTTTACAGTCTTTCTTTCTGAAGTTTGAGTATCTTCTGTTGTAGAATAATAATAATAATAAAAAGACTATTAAGAGCAATAAATTATTTTTAAGAAATCAATATTTAGTAAATCATATTATATGTTCAAGGACCAGATGTGTTATCTATTTTGCCTTTAAATTTTTTGTGATCCAATTTTAAATATATTCTCTTTTTTGCCCTGGATTGCTGACCATGAGTAAAAGACTTGGTTTCTTTTCTTATTTATCAAAACACAGCACTACTGATTTCATGTTGAGGATTAATTTCTTCCCCCTCTGGCCTGACAAATATTGTTACCATGAAGATAGTTTTCCTCCATGGACTTCAAATTGCATCTAAAATTAGTGCAAGGAAAGCATCACTAAACCATCGGAATAGAGCTTTTGTATCTTATGCAGACACTGTGGGTAGCCCATCAAAATGTAAACTGTGTTCCTTTTATTTTCATTTTTTTTTTTATTATTATTTTGGGAGAGAATATTTCAAATTAACACATGCATGCCATCCTCACTGGAGGCAAATTTCAGCATAGACCTGTAGGATTTTTAGATGACCGTGGGCCATTGCCTTCATGCTGTGGTAAGTACCACATCGATAGTTTTGGTAACCGAACTGGTCCTTTTGAAATGTGGGTGGTTATTTTTTAAATTTTTTTTAAAAGAGGTGTAGCAGAATAATTCTTCCAGCGCAACAGAAACCATTTTTTGCTAAGCAACTCCGAGAACAATGGTTGGGCTGTCAACATTCAAAGCCACAGAGAGGGAACTTTGCACTATTGGGGTATGATGGTTGGGTCAGTTGAAAAAAAGGAAACCTTTTCATGCCTTTAGATGTGAGCTTACAGTAGGTAATGATTCTGTGTCCTTTTTTGATGGCTGTGACAAGAACTTCAATCACTGTAGTGTAAGACCTGATGTATAGGTGACCTAGAATAGCCATGTAATATAATGTGATGATTCTAAATTTGTACCTATGTGACAGACATTTTCAATAATGTGAACTGCTGATTTGATGGAGCTACTTTAAGATGTGTAGGTGAAAGTGTAATACTGTTGGTTGAACTATGCTGAACAGGGAAAGTGAGCTATTAGTTGAGCCCTTTGCTGGGCTGTTTTTTCCATCTGCCAATTCTACATGTATTGTTGTGGTTTTATTCATTGTATGAAAATTCCTGTGATTTTTTTTTTTTTTTTTAATGTGCAGTACACATCAGCCTCACTGAGCTAATAAAGGGAAACGAATGTTTCAAATCTATGTCTGCTTTTGTTATTTATCGAAACCAAACTCCTGGCATGTGTCTCAGCTCAGTATCCATTACTTTCTTACGATTATTCAATTTCCTCTCAGCCCTACCTCCCTTTCTCCCTGTGTTTCCATATTCATGGTGGATTCCAGTTCTCAGGTAATGTGCACCTTCTGAATTTCCTCTTGCCATCTTTCAAATGGCAAAAGCACAAGTGGTGATTTCTGTAATGAATGTAAAAAGCTGAGGAGGGACATGGAACTTTGTCAAATGGATTAGCTCTGTTTTTGTACTTAACTCTGGAAAGTGTATATTTATAATAGCACACCATTGCCCCTAGGGAGGGAGTTGCTTAATATTCAGCTTAGCGAGCAGTTCCACTGTAGATGGACAGAATATTTCTCCAAGAGAAGGCTTGTCACAGGATTCAGTATTCCATCACACAGAAGCCATCAGGTTAAATCTGAGATGAGCTGATAGCTGCTGATGGCTCTCACTGTCAGGATGTCCATTGTGCCTGGTAAGTGGCACTTGTCCTAATGTCAGAGAATGCATGATTATTGATCCACCAGCTTCCACTTTTAGATGGTCATCCTCTCACCCAACCACTTGCATTGCAAGACCCAACATGAGCATAGCATTAAGGTGATGAAATAACAGTGGGGAGGGGGGGGGGAACTGTTGCCTTTTAGTTGATTCTGACTCATGGCAACCCAGTGTGTTTCACCTCTCCCTCAAGTCTCCAAGAGAAAAAAGTAATGTTTGCAATTATTGACAATGTGATAGAGCTATCAATACCAAAAACAAAATAAAACAAAGCCCACCAAACTCCCTGACATTGAGTCAATTCCAACTCAGAATGACCTCTATAGGGTTTTGAGGCAGTAAATCTTTATGGAAGTAGATTGACCCATCGTCCTTCCATGGAGTGGCTGGTGGGTTTGAACCTCTGACTTTCTGGTTAGCAGCCTAAGGCACTTGTTGTTGTTGTTGTTGTTGTTAAGTGCCGTCGAGTCGTTTCCGACTCATAGCGACCCCATGCACAGCAGAACGAAACACTGCCCGATCCCGCACCAGCCCCACAATCCCTGCTATACTCGAGCCCATCATCGCAGCCACTGTATCAATCCATCTCGTTGAAGGCCTC